GAGTTAACTCCAAACAACAGTAAATCCAAATGGTCACTCAACTTACTCAGTTGATCTGACTTAAACAAAATTAGGATTCAATATTTTACAATCCCTTCCTTTAATCCAAAAGGTTAGGTTTATGCGTTTTGAGCTAAACCATCCTTAGTATGACACCGTCCCATACCGGTGCATACAATCCTCCATATCCATGTAATTGACAGAATATATATTAATCCAGCAATTAAAATCCAAAACCATGTAAAAATTACAGACTATGATAAATAGTACAGCAATTTAATATCCAAAACCAAAAGCCAGGTAATTGCAAATAGTTTATATAATACTTCAGCAATTTCAATTCAAAGCCATCATCCAGTTAATTGTAGAATAATATATACGATTTCACAATTAACATCCAAAACCATGTAAATTACAACATATAAATTAAATTTTAGCAATTCACAGTCCAAACCAATATTCAAATAATTGCAGAACTGTGTTTAACTTTCAGCAATTCAAATCCAAGCTTATAACCATATAGTTGCAGGAACCGATTTAATAATTCAACAAATAGCATCCCGAGCATGCATAGATCATAACTAATAATTAAATGACCTTCTCATGCATTTTAAACAAGTTTTATAATTATGCTAAATCCGATCAAATTGCTAAAATTTAATTAAGCAATTAATCTGTCTTCCATCCGTTATCAGCATAGAAAGTTCATTAATTTTATATTGTTTGTCCCATTGATTTAGAAATCAACTTTAATCAGTTCAAGGTTTTAGTCACACCCAAAATTAAATATTTAACCCCTCTGTGAAGTCCCATTAAATTTCTGAAATTTAAACAAGCCACTCAGTTCCTTTCTTCTGTTAATAGCATGCACAGTTGCATATTTTTACACTGCTTCATCCTTTATCATAGAAACTTAAACCATGCAATAATAAGTTTAATAACACTTAGAATTAACCATTTAAACCCTCTGTAAAACCCCAGAGTCAACAAAACAGTTCCCATGCTCCAACAGTAAATAAACTGTTCGTAAAAAGAAAAAAAATTCAGAGAACACTATTGAAAAGAGCCTTCTCCAAAAAATTGGAGAAGGCTCTAAACCACCTAGAGCCTTCTTTAAAAAACTAGAGAAGGCTCTAAATCACCTAGAGCAGGCTCCACATTTTAGAGCCTTCTCTTTTTCTCTTTGAGCCTTCTCCTTTGCTTCCTATTCCACCTGCATAATTGCATCTCTTATGCACTGAAAGGTTATAAAAATACCTAGATTGTATGTTAATCATCTTAGTCTACTTCCCACATAGTTCCATACTCAAGAATCGTCCACACAGTGCACCCAAAAACCCACAATTGAACCAAACAACGCACAAAACTGCTTCTGTAAACAAATAGGATCACAGAGCCTTCTCCAAAATAGTGGAGAAGGCTCAATCTGCCTAGAGCCGGCTCTCCTACAAGGGGCAGCCGGCTCTCCTTGCCTAGAGCCGGCTCTCTCCATGGGAGAGCCGGCTCTCTCCCTTTTGAGAGCCTCGACTTTGTTCCCTCTTCGTTTCCGACCATCTGCCTCGTCTCCGGCCCTTTCCTACCCCTCTGATCTTCCTTAAAACTTGTCGTCATTGTCTAATATATATACAATGTTAATCCCCAGTCCTTAATTTACCACAGTACAAGTTAATATAGTGATATAAAACAACGACCAATTTAATACTTTGAAATAAACAACGAAGAACAGAGTTGTAAGAATTGTTTTCAGGCAATATGCATATATACAGATGATCTAATTAACATATTTCAAGCATGTAAGATTCAATTAAAATTCAAATACAATCCTAGAGATCATCAAAGGATGCACAGAACACAGGCAAAGGGAGAGAGACAGAATAGAACTTGCCTTTCGGTTTCGGTTTGAAACCTTTCAACATCGTCTTCTTTCTAGGTTTTCCGACGACCTTAGTTGCCGTTGAATCTCCTCTACTACTCTTGGTTTAACCCCACGAGCAACTCAGTCCTTTCTCCTTGGTCCAACCTTTAATCCCTAACGAAAATCCTAACGAAACTCTCTCTCTCTCTTCCACACAATACCCTCTCTGTTTCTCTATGTCTCTATATACGAATAGGGTTTTAAAAAAACCCCTTGCAAAATTATCACAGTATATTTATAGGCAAAATTATCCCAGTATATTATAATTCAATTAATAATAATTACTAATTATTAACCTAATCCATATATACATATATACCCATATATACATGTATATACTTCCATGGGTATATACTGTACCCATTTATACTATCCAAAAGTCCGTGAATCTTAACCAAGCCCAACCTTGTTTTAAAAATAAATAAATAAAACAATGCATTTAATTAAACATTTCAAAGGCCTCTTAAGTATATAATTCAATTAGAACAAAGAATTCAATTAACCAATTAAACATTCCAACACAACAACTAATCATTTAAATCAAATAAAAAAAATAATTAAACACAAAATCAAATAAACACACAAAAATGCCCTAAAAATAATTTAAATTCCAATTTTATCCTTTTGAAAACTAGGGGTATTACAGTTTCGCTCGGCTTCACTACCGATCCATTAACTCGGACTAGTCTGGGGGTCCACGGAGCCTCTCCAGAGAAGGAACCAGTGGCATTGCCGTACCCGGAAGGAGCAGTTGGCCTAACTTGAGGAGAGATAGGCAAACCTGGCCTGGAGGTACGAATCATCCTTGTCAGAGGGACTTCATCAGGGCTGCCTTCGCTTTCAGGATGAGGCCTTTTTCCCCGTTCTTTATCCTAAACGGATGCAATGGGGGCATTGGTACTTCGAGCTTGAGGGACGGAGTTCTGGTTGACAGGTAGAGTGGTGACGATCGGGGGAACAGTCACCACGTCTGGGGTAGTGTTGGATGTGGTTGTAGATGAAAATGTCGAAGCTGGAGAAGAAGAAGCCGCGGGAACAGCATTGACCCTGTGAGGATCCTTCCTCCTACTGAAGGATGGATCCAAAGCTGGCTCATTGTGGTGCCGAGGAGAGATATATCACTTAAATTCTCAGATGTGAGGAGTTCTAAACAGGAAGGGACGTTGTTCAGAACGTAGTCCTTCAGGTAGTTGGTCCTATCTCTGCAAATGTTATAACTAAGTTCGTTATCCTGCGGGATACCTAAAGAATTGCAAAGAAACGAATAGAATCGAGGAATGCAAATTTCACAAGGGCAGTCTGCCTTATGGGTTTTGAATTTCTTATACGAAGACATGGAGCATTCGCCGAAGGCGGTAGGGATAGGATAGTCCTTGGCAGCCGGAGCAAACCAAGTGCCCCGAACGCCAACAATACCCTTTTTCCACCCCTTTTCAGAATTAAACTTATTTGTACAGATGGATTTCTTTTCAAGAGGGTAAAGATGGTAATATGCATCCTCCAGCCTGATTTTGCTAACCTTGTAACAGAGGAGAAGATCAACCAAATCAAGATCTAGGCCTCTGTTACGATTCAGAAGTAACAGAACGGACAGAACCCTAAAAAAATTGGGATTAACTTGAAGAGAAGAAAGTTTCAACCTATTGAACACATAGCAGAAGAAAGGGTGAAGAGGGAATCTAATAATGTTGAGGTGATGAAAGGAAAACAAGACTTCGCCGGGAAGAAGATCGGTACCAATTCTGACATTAACGTCTTTGGGACATTCTCTAAGGTGAATATTGGAAGGGAGATGGAGCTTCATATGCAGAATATCCAAATCTATAGGCATGATGCTGACGATTATGATCCTTGGGGAAAATGTGCAAATATTTTAAGAAGAAGAAACAAAACTAACCTTGAAAAGATGAAGATCAACGAAAGATGTTGCAAAAGAATTGAGAGAGAAGAACCTTTCACTGGATTCACCAGAGAGTATTTGGATTTGACTAGAAAAATCTAAGTTGCCTTGAGAGAACAAACTGAAATCGATTGACAGTGATTTGTTGGGGGTACGATAAGGGAAGATGTGGATATGAAGGAGTGGTTTATAAAGGGGAAGTGGTCCCACTAACCGAGATGTCAAGGAGTTAAGAAGATTCAAATTTCAAAGACATTAATTCCGAGGCCAACTGCTCGATGCCCCACGTGATTGTCTCGAGTCGTCGAATCATCATTAGTCGTCAAGTCATCGTTAGGTCTATTGATAATCACACCCTAATTAATAAGAGAGTGATTATGGGGGCAGATGAGGATACCAAAGGCGGCATGGGCCGAATCTAACCCATATGATGAAGAATGGGCCAGGCAAATGGCCTGGGCCCAAATCAAGCTGTCGTGAGGCAAGCCCAATGCCGAAGAGTGAAGCTGAAGGCCTGAAAGACGAATGGATCTATGGATACAAAAGCCTCGATGATGAGCCCAATGGAGGAAGTTTGTTAGGGATCTTTTAGAACATTGTAAATAATCTATAAATAGGGAAAAAATGAAGGAAAATGGGATCGAAAATTTTGAAGTGTAATGAAACTCTGTCAATTTAGAGAGAAAAAATTTCTTGCATCTTCACGAATCCCTGCCAATCTTTTTAGTCCAACACATGTTTTCAATTTTTAATTAGGGTGAATGTGAGATTTGAACTCGAGATCTTTGATTCTGATACCATGTTAATAATTATTTACTCTAAAAGTTTTTATTTTTATAGGACGTGTATCGGTCTCACAACATACACACCATTCAAGTCAAGAGTGCAGTTCGAAAGCGAGATCTTAAGGACGTACCTCTTGGATCCATGCTAACGCTATACACGCATCATTCAAGTCAAAAGTGCGATTCAAAAGCGAGATCTCAAAAACTTATCTATCGTATTCTTACCAACACTATTATATTTAGGGGTATTCTAAAAACTTAAGCCTTTAAAAATTGTGTAACTTTAATTTGTGAGGAGGGATGCTAGCGACTGATGCTAACAGTCGAGCTACATGTCAGCAGCTTATTGGCTGCTGACTTTTGTTAATTTTTTTATTATTAGAGTTTTGTGCCCGTGCCTTTTAGTTTCCCTTCTATTATTTTTTGGTTGTTCAGTCCGTTCTTTTCTTCTCTCTCTCCCCCTTCTCTCTCTCTATGTCCAAGGTACCGGCGGGCGGTAAGGTCGATGGAGGGGAGCAGATCTGGGTGAGGGAAACACAAAAACACACACAAAAAAACAGAGTGATTTGTGAGTGAGAGATCCGAGAGCCCATACACACTGAATTCTTCTCGATTTTCTCTTTTCCCCCCTGTAACATCCCGTTTCTTCTGTATCCCTTTTTGTAAATCATCTGTCTTTCAAAGTTTATTGATTTTTTGGGTTTGTTTTTTTGGGTGATTTTTTAAATGAACAACAAAAAACAAACTTAGAAACAATTTTAAATTTTCAAGAGAGCCAGGTGTTTTCAGAACAGAGATCCAGTTTTTTTCAGCAAAAAATAAACTTACCCCCTCTCTCTCCACCGTCCGATGAATCCTCCGTCGATCTGCCCGCTGGTAACTTGGGTGAGAGAGAGAGAGAGAGAGAAGGGGGAGAGAAAGAAGAAAAGAAGGGACAGAAGAACCAAAAAAATAATGACAAGGAAACTAAAAGGCACCGGCACAAAACACTAAGAAAAAAAAAATTAACAAAAGTCAGCAGCCAATAAGCTGCTGAAACGTAGCTCGACTGTCAGCAAGACAGTCGCCTAAGGCGACTAACATCCTTCTTAATATATATTCTAATAGAAGCATCTATTTATTTCCCCTATATAATAAGGTTATTGTGCTGAATTTTGATACTCCTGCCATATTGCAACACATTCGCAAAATCCCTCTCTCATGGCAGAAGAAAGGCAGCCAAAATTTGAAGGCAAAGCCACTGTGAAGCTAGGAGGCCCAACAGCAGATGAAGTGTGGTCACTCTTGGAGGACTTTTGCAGCATCAACAAATGGCGTCCTGGTGTTGATACGTGCTACCAAGTTGAGGGGGTCCAAGGACAGCCCGGGCTTATCCGGTACTGTGCCACCACACCAATGTCATCATCCAAGGGTGATGAGAAGGTGATCTATTGGGCAAGAGAGAAGTTATTATCATTTGATCCGATCAAACGGTGCTTCAGTTACGAGATGTTGGAAAATAATGCGGGTTTTAATTCGTATGTTGCGATGATCAAAGTATTACCAGTCAACGACGATGATGAATGCAAGTGCCAGATGGAGTGGTCATACACGGTGGATCATTTGGATGGGTGGACACATGAATTTCTGGATTTTTATGTCAAGTCATCTCTCCAAGGGATGGCAGAGAGATTGGAGAAAGCTATCCAGGCTACAGAGTGAATATGGACTTCACTAGTACTGTTGTTCATTTATTGCTAAAGTTTATATGATAATAAATATTGTGGTGTTTATAGTGTTTGGACTAGTTACTTCCAAATGTTTGTGGTAGTGGCCATATGATCTTGTGGTCCTCGGCTTTTAAGGGCATGTGCTGTGGGTAAAAAACGGCTGAAATTATAACTACGAGTACTATAATAAATAAAAGTTAAATTTTTAAATATATATATTTTTAGGAACTTTGACAATAAAGTGGTCTTAACATAGCTAAACGTAGTTTGCATATTTACAAATACATGAACTAAGTTCTATTTAGCCTTTTATTAAGCCGAATTTATATTCTCACACTTAGGAGTTTAATTTATGCACAATTTACCCAAAGAACAACTTATTCAAGTATTAAAATTTTGTCAAACAACACTTAGGAACTGCTACATAGCGCTAGAATTAGGAGACACAACACGTAGTCTACAAAGAAGAATTAAAGAACTTTGATCTAGAATTATATTAATACAAAATATTTTAGAAGGTAGATGGCAACGATTTTAGTTTATGAACAGACTTGACTTTAATAATTTAGATAATTCCATAAAACGATTAGGAGAAAATTTAGATTATATTAAAGAACAAGTAGTATAGAATTCTAGTCCAAATAATTTAGATAATAAAATAATATTAGTCGCAATTAAAGATATTAATAGTGATATTAAAAATATTGCTGAAAACCAGAAAATAATCATAGACTCTTTAAAATCCCTTAAAACCGATATCAAAAAATTATTACAATAGTTTTATGAGCACCAGTAGTCCTGATTATTTAACCGCGTTAACTGAACTTTACAAAATTAATAAAGAACCCATAGGATTTACAAGCTTTAAAACAGACATACAGTCAACTAATATACATATTAAACAAAATAACTTTTTAATTCAGTTATTACTCCAGTTATCTGATAAAGTTAATAAACTTGAAGAAAAATTAGAAATAATATAAGAAAGTATTCCTAGAAAATCTTCAAAAGAATTATCTGAATTATCAGATAAAATAAAAGAAATAAAATTGTCAGTCAATAACTACTCCTCTCCTACAACAGTCAAACGTGTAAATTTATTACAACTTCAACCTCATAAGCAAATACCACAATGGCCATTATCCTTAGAAAAGTCAAAGAAATAATGAGAGTAGAAGATTTATATGATAATGAACATGATGCTAAAAAATATATAGAACAAGGAATGAAGAAGGTAAAAAATAAAATTAATCTTTATTCTAATAATTTATTAGATTTTCAGAGCAAGATATATAATCATTTTAGCCAAAGAAAAATAAGTGCAGTTAACAATCAAGTTATTTTAGACCTTATAACACCCGAAGCATGCCAAGAACTAAATAATAAAAATGTAGAACTCATGCATTTAGGCGTCATAATGATAGGATTTGTAGGATTAAACAGAGCAGAAACCGGAACTAGAGCACTTGCTTATATTTATGATGACCGATGGAATAACCATCAACAAGCACAATTAGCCAGCATCGAAATAGACTTAGCCGACAATGCCGCAATAGTAGGATGTATTCCCAATTACACGATGACTACTAGAGAATTCAGTAAACATATTAAGATAGCTATATCTACAAAAGGATATAATATGACATGACAATTTGAAAACCTATTAGTTAATACTTTATTTATGGGAAAGGCAGTTAATCAGTATAATTTAAAATTTAAAGCCCAATTTTGTGAAATAGTTAAACCTTTTAGTAGCAAAAATGTCCAGATGATAGAAGCCAGAAAAGTAAGCAGTATTACCCATGAAGGAACAGAATGAAAATTACCTAAACTTACTACTACACCTAAAAAGATTCCCTAAAATAATATGATATGTGTATCAAATAGCGGAGATGCTAGCATACGGTTTAGTAATTATAAACGACAAGACAATTTAGTTGATGATACTCAAGAAGATTTCTTAACTACACTAATAGAAATAATATCTCTTGAAGAAATAAATGTTCTTTATGATAGATTAAAAGATGAAATCCTAGATAAAATAATGTACAATTTTGATAATTTAGAATTAGAAGCATTGCAAGAGAAGTATCCAGAACCTAAATACCAACTTATCAAAAGTATTTATTTAGGATAAGGAAATAATGATGATATTAAGAAAAATATTCTAAGTGTCGGATTTGAATCCTTCTATATAACATTAGAATTAAACACAGTAAAAGAAGAGTTAAATGTAATAGAGCATAGAGAAGGGAAAGCATCAGAAGCATCAGAATATCACTCAATCGACCAAGAAATGAGTGACCAAAAAAGGACTAACACCTCAGGTAGTAATACCTTAAGTGATGACTTTACTACTGGACAAAGATTAAATCCCTCACGAGAAATTTACGTTGAAAATAGAAATATACCAGATATTTATACATTAACACAATATCGTAGACAATATGATAATATACCAACGCAATCATCAGGAATAATATTAGACATAGCAAGGCATGATCCCCAAGACTGGGCAAAAGTAATCAAAAACTGGGAACAAGATTGTATTAGGCAATCTATTTTGACCAATTTTGACAATAGAACTCAAGCCTTAACCTATTGTGAAACCTTATTAAGAGGAACTATTCATGACTGGTGGCAGGCTTATAAAGTAATTTATTCAAATGATTATGCCATCTTATGTGATAATTTTACCATTCAAGGCTTTACAAGCCTCATTAAAAAAGTATTAATTGGTGAAGACAGATTATTAGATGACACTTTAATAAAACAAAACGAAGCTTTACATAATTTAGAGTTACTATAGATCTGTGGTTTTAGATACATAAAAAACTACACCAATAAGTTTTTTGAGTATTTTGTAGCCACTAGTAAAACAGGTGATAAAACATTACTTGATCAACATCTTCAGAAGTTACCCGGAAGCGTATGAACTAAAATATGGGAAAAATGGTTAGAAAACCCTAGAAGCGATACGCTAACCATAGGAGATAGAGTTAATCATGTGTGTAACATGTTAAAAGCAGAATGTTGACAACGTAAAGAATCTAAACAAATCAAAAAATAATTTTATTATACGTGTAGACAAATAGATTTTCCACCCCAGTATGGGTGTATGCCTCAGAAAAATTACAACTATAAGCATAATAAACTTAAAAAATATAATTTGTGTAAAAACAAAACTTACAAGAACTTTCGTAATAAAAAACCTTATGTCAGAACTAACCCTAGGCAATTCAGAAAGCGGCTTTGGTATAAAAAGCAAAAGATAAATAAAGATAAAAAGGACAACAAAGACAAGGATAATAAGGTAAACACTTTACCCACAAAAGAAAGACACTGCAAATGTTTTATTTGTGGAGATCCAGGACACATTAGACCAAATTGCCCTCATCGATACAAACAGAATCCTATTAAAAGGATACAAGAAAAGATCAACATACTTGAAGATATTGAAGAACAAATAGAGGAATTATATGAACTAGAAAGTATTTATGACTCTGACGATGATAATGAAAGTATATATAATATCGAGAGCTTAGATAACAACTTTGATAATGATGAAGACTTTGAACAAGGACTTCATTCAATAGAAGAGTTCGTTCACACTATAAGTAATCCCTCATGTCAGTATAACTTAGTTAGTTTTGAATTTTCTTTTTATAATTGTAAACAGTGCAATATATCTATTAAAAAAGGTCATTATTGTGAAAACCATTGTAAAACTTTATTATGTCATAATTGTTATACAAAATACGAAGATAAGCAGGAAGATATTTTAGTTGAATCTATAAATTCAGTTTATAAACCATCTAGTCTAATTCAATTTCCAGTAACATTAGAATTTAGAGAAAAACTAGTGCAAACCTCAGCTATGCTTGATATCGGAGCGTCTAAAAGTATAATTCAAAAACATTTAGTCCCAGACGATGCCTTAGTAAAGTTAAATTATAATGTTAACATGAGCCAGTATAATAATGAAAAACTTCAAATGACCCATTGTGTTCAAAACATTCCTATATTAATTAATAATGAAAAGTTTGTTTTACCCCAGACTTATATAGTTAATAATATTCCTAGCACCTATGATTTTATCTTAGGATTAAATTTTATAAACTCACTCACCGGAGGATTTATGTATACCCCTACAGATTTGCAATTTTTTAAGAAAGGAACCTTTATTCTCTCTAGAGATCCTTATATTCCTCAAAAGGATAAATGAGCCATTACCTATGTTAATACTTTACCTATGACAGAAGAAACGACAAAAAATTTATTTGATGTATCCGAATTTTTAGAAGACGTTTCTGAAGCCTTAATGTTTCTTAGTCATCTTAATGAACCAAAGATTTTCTTTAATAATAAAGTTATATTAAAAAACCCCAAACTAAACATTGATAATCTTATAAGATTAGCCGAAACCACAGAAATCTTAGGTGAAGACCCTCAGAAACACTGGTATAAAAATAAAATTGAAGCAAAATTAAATATAATAAATCCTTTTATAACTATAAAGACATAAGATAATCCTCATACCTTAGACGATCAAGAGGAATTCCAAAGACAAATTAAGGAACTGTTATTACTAAAGGTAATAAGAAAAAGTAATAGTAGACATAGGAGTCCAGCTTTTATGGTTAGAAATCATGCTGAAATAAAAAAAGAAAAGGCTCGTATGGTTATAAATTATAAACGATTAAATGATAATACCTATGATAATAGTTATAAAATCCCTAATAAAGATGTTTTAATAAATTGAATTCAAGATAGAAAATGGTTTTCTAAATTTGATTGCAAATCAGGATTTTGGCAAATCCGGATGGCCGATGAATCCATTGAATGGACAACGTTCACATGTCTTGAAGGACATTATGAGTGGTTTGTTATGCCTTTTGGATTAAAAAATGCGCCACAAGAATTTCAGCGTAAAATGGATACTATATTCAATAAACACGCAAATTTCTGTTGTGTTTACATCGATGATATCTTAGTCTTTAGTCAAACTAAAGAAGAACATAGAAAACATCTTGAACTTATATTCAACGAGTTTATAACACAAGAACTCAT